TCCCACCACTATCTGGATGAAAAATGATCTCTTCAATTCTACCCTTAGTGTTCTGCCTCTTACCTTAAATCTATGTCCCCTGGTTATTGACACCTCTACTTCTGTTGAGTTAATTGGTACCTAGTGTGGTTGAAGCTAGCATAGTTAAACAGAAAGACTGAGGTCAGGCAAGAAAGTTTGGAAAGATAATTTGTGTAAATCATAGTGGTGTTGAGACATGTCAATATTTACTAACACTGCAGTGATGATGGCGAGTAACTAAGTCTACCCTTTCAAAAGGTATTCAGTGATAAACTTTTATTCAAGCTTATCTAGATATTTTGTTGTTTCACAAACTGCCTTTACAATATATGGCAAGCTTGATGATTTATTAAAATAATTAATTCTTTGAAAAGATGATAGATTATCCTAATAAGATCATGGAAAAACACACTTTTTAATTGCCTGTGACCAACACCTTAAACGAAAACTCAGATTTTCAACTCCATCCTTCCTTTCAGTAGCATTTGTTGATGTTGCAGGTAAATGTGAGAGTCAGGAAAGCAGTTTTGAAATGAAGCTGTCAGATCCCACAAGTGTGAAAACTAAGTTATGCGTCAGTCCACAGGTCCAGCTGGAAGGCTTGGTGCCAATATTTGGCAGGAGCTGTTGACAGACAGGACAGATGACAGCACAGCTACGTAACATTCAATATTACAAATAGAAGTCGTGGTGAGGACAGACAAAGCCCACCACTGAGTGATGTGAAGATAGATGTTGTGTTGACTGCAAGTTGGGACCAAGATAAAGATATCTAAGTCTTGGAGAATATTTCACCCATTCCTGGCTTTAGCACAGAGATATTATGCGTTGATTTATTAATTGAGGCTGTTTTGAGCTGTTAGCTGTTTTGAAAGAGCACCCTGCTGATTTTTGAGTGGAGTTTATTATCATAAACACATTGAATTCAGAGGTTTAACAATTAAAGTACTAACTGAGTGCAGTTTAAATACTGGCTACGATCTTCTGACACGACTGTCGAATATTTACTTTTAGATTGAAATGAGCGATCTTTGGTTTGAATGACTATCATTACAGGACCAATTAGTTTGTTCCACTCTGAAAACTCAATCTTAAATTGTTCTCAAAACCCAGAGTTCTAGCTGGAGCACTGCCAAAGGGACTTCAAGATGACAGCTCATCACTACCTTCTCAAGGTCAATTGGAGGTGGTTAACAAATGTCAGCACTGCCAGTGACACCCACAGCCGCGAATGAGAAATTATAAACAAGCAGATATTTTCCACGCACGAGAAGCCCAGCAATCATGCAGCAGTGACAGCCACATACTTCTTTATGGTAAATGACATTAGGAGGTTTTCCTGCTTTGTGTCAAAATGTTCTGCGAAATTTTCGAAATGACACATCCCAGCCACAGATACAAAAAAAACTGGCACAATTTTTCAACATTTTGTGAGATGCAACTTTAGAAGAAGGGGCCCACACTGTAAAAGAAAGCACTGTACAGTAGGCTGTACAGCTTTGGTTTCATATCAATTTTCTATTCTGTATAAATAGCACTCCGAGGCATTAATGGCAATAAGCTCAGCAATAAACACCTGTGAACAACAGAACTATAACGGATAACAATTTTATAAAGTCAAGCCCATTCTAAACACAAAGTATGGCTTTTAATCAATCACACTGAATAACCTTTAAATGCTAACGATTGTTACTCCCTAGCCAGCAGGTTTCGCAGTCAGAATCAGCCAAGATAAATGTGATGACTTGCTTCTTGTGATAACCTGAGGAGAGCAGGGTGATAAAATCAATAGGTGCAGGTACTAGAGTTATTAACCTGCGCTATTAAGTCAGCATGAACTTGGAGATTTAATGTAGAGGTTTCTGCTGGAAAATCACCCATGATGCAAAGTGCTGCGTCACACTAAATTAGTTTTCAGTGACTTTGATTGAGATCCTTTAGTTTCAATGCACTGGTTGTGGGGACTGAATTCCTACCTAGGAAAAAAAATTTCATTCAGATATTTCAACAGCAAATTTAAAACAAAAATGACCCAAACATGTTTGTAGGCCATGTGAAACCAATGTGAGCAAAATAGTTTGGTCTGCATCATTTATTCAAAGTTGCCTTTTTGATTTGGACTCACAGAAGTTATTTTGAATAACTGCACCTCTGTCTCAGGGATGATGTATAGGTCTTTTAATGCTGACACATTTGCTAAGACGAGGGCAGGTGAGCTGTCTGATGTGTGAGTGATTGATCAACTGGAATCAAGAATGCAGATGAATTATATATTGAGGAGGACAAATTGAACTTTCTGGAATTAACTGCCACAAGCTTTGAAGAACAGCCAGGAGCCTTTCATGGTTTTTTTTTAAAATAACCCTACCTATACAAAAAGGCATAATTCATCTTGACATCCAGTAGAATTGAATAACACAAAGTGATGAATATAGCTGAGGCAGGACAGTCAGCCTATCTAGTTGATCTTTCAGTTTCGAAAATCACCAAAATGTGAGGGAATTATTTTGTCGCTGAAGAGTTTGTCAAGCATGCTTAACCAGTTAACAATTTAGAACTGTAATGTGGAGTGAAGTGAATCTCATTGACAATGAGATCCTTGATTGGGGTCATTAACCTAGGCCAATTAGGAGGAACTGACTGACCAAAATGAACATGTAAGCATTGCCCAAACTGGGGCTTTGCTTCTCACAGGTTCCCTGGCTACATTGGTGATTTTTCCAGGTAGTGGAATTCACTAAAGTTGACTACACAACTGTCTTCTACACCTACACACACACCCACACGCTCTCTCATACACGCGCACTCACACTCACGCGCGCTCACACTCACATGACATGGAAGCTGGGGAAAATAAAAGAAAAGGGGAATTTAAAAAAAGCGAGAAGAATCAGTATAAACAGGGGATTCAGAATCTGAGATAGTAGGAACTGCAGATGCTGGAGAATCCGAGACAACAAGGTGCAGGGCTGGATGAACACAGCAGGCCAAGCAGCATCATAGGAGCAGAGAGGCTGACGTTTCGGGCCTCGACCCTTCATCAGAAAAGGGGGAGGGGAAGGGGGTTTTGAAATAAATAGGGAGAGAGTGGGAGGCGGATAGAAGAGGGATAGAGGAGAGGATAGGTGGAGAAGAAACAAACAGGTCGAAGAGGCGGGGATGGGGCCAGGAAAGGTGAGTGTAGGTAGGGAGTTAGGAAGGGGATAGGTCAGTCCAGGGAGGACGGACAGGTCAAGGGGGTGGGATGAGGTTGGTCGGTAGGAGAT